AATGCCCCCCACCCCCAACCCCCCAACACAATCAGTCGCACCCACCCCTCATTCTTTCAGTCACAGTGATTCTCGTTTTATTTATTTATTATTTATTTATTGTATTTACTTATTTTATTTATTTATTTATTTCATTTATTAGGGGGAGTGGTGGCGCAGAGGTTAGAGAAGATGGGCCTGCGATTGGAAAGTCGCAGGTTCAACTCCCGGTACTGTCAACATAAAATGTGGGTGGAAAAGGTGAAACACCCGCACCTGCCTACACCCTCATTCGCCTCACTCAGGGCCCCTGAGCAAGGCCCTTAACCCCCACCATCTGCTCCCTGAACAGGTCTCTCTTGAAAATGAGTTCTTGTGACTCAATGAGACTGCCTGGATAAATAAAGGGTAAAAAAAAAAAAAAAAGTCCAAGTGTTTTGATTACCACTGAAAGTTATTTTTACCCAGAAATAACCACAAGACTTGCAACTTCTTGCTCTTTGTTATATGACTGTTTAAAGGTTAAAAAGTATGAAATCAAACATGAATGGTAAATGTACTGTAATTAAATAGCACCTTTCTATCATATTAAGACACTCACAATCTGTACCCTCATTTACCCACAGCACTCTACTAGATCTACACAAAGACTAATCAGAGCTTTATCACATTCATACACAGATGGGACACACATCGGAGGCAATGAGGTGTTCAGTGTCTTGCCCAGGGACACTTCAGCATGTGACTGCTGGTGGAATCAAACCCCCAGCTCTCCCACTGCACAGGCCGACTGCTCTCACTCATCCACAGCCTCCTGTGAATAAACGTTATTGTGAACTATTTAAAATGGTGCAGTTTAGAAGAAGAGTTTACTCCAGTTGTTTTCTAACACAATTTAAAAGTGTGGGTCTGCACTCAATGTAAACAAAGCACTTGGATGCAAACTATGCTTAAGCTTGAGTCACCTGATCGACCGACAGCTGGTGTAGTTTGTAAACAAATATCTTGGAGATATTAGAGGGAAACTTCTGTTGTACGTGAAAGAAAAGAGAAAGCTTTAGGACACTGTCAAGAACAAATATGGGATCAGCAATGGTCATGGAGCACCATGAAGACAGAGCTTCAAACACACACAGCTTTAACAAAACTTCTAGTAAGTTGGACTTGTTTTCAGTCGCTGGCTGCGGCTGTTGCAGACGGGATTTGGAACCCAAACACATTTTTCTTATAATTTTTTAAACGAGGGACACATTATCAGTATGAAAAAAACATGTGCTGAATAAGTTAATCACGTTACGATTTGTCTTTGTCCAGCTGTTCTGACTTTGCACTCGGTACCTTGAAGGGCTGAAGCTGCAGAATGAAAACGACCCCGTCCAAGCACCTCACTGATGACATCACGGGGTACAAAACCAAACCACGACACGTCCAAGAGCACTTAAAACTTACTTCCACAGCACTCTCCTGGGCTGTTTTTCTTTTTATTCCCCAGAAAAATGCAGGGAATCTGCAATTTTTAATAATATTCAGATTAAAATTAATTAGTTCAACCACTGGCCTTAAAACATCCACATTCCTCCCTCTCATTGGCAGTGTGGGTTTCACACCTAGATACCCAATTAGCAATTAAGCTTGCCTTTGAGTGCAGGCCTCCAATGCGGGTGTGTGATCCTCGTTTGATTTGCATGCCACTTGTGCACGCGCTGATAAGCGCAGGCAGCAGCCATACATAGTTTTTAAAATTCAACTCCAGAATCCCTCGCAGAAGGCAAAGGGGCCTGCGGGGCGCAAAGAGAGAGAAATCACATGGCTGCTCTTCAAAAGGGGACCTGTGTAAGGCAGCCTGCAAAGTGCGTGGGATCACACTCAGAATGCAGGTAATTTGTTCCCTGACTAATTTGTGGAGATGGTGGTGTGTGTGTGTGTGTGTGTGAGTGAGAGGGAAAGTGAGTGTGTGTGCCTGTGGAGAGTAAGTTCTGAAAACAGCTCAGTGGAATTGGATTTCCTCAAAGCCTTGTCATCGCAAAGGTGGATTGAGTGTAAAATCTGTGAGGCATTATGGAAAATTGCAGGGGAGAAAGAAGAGGGAGTGCAAAAGAAGTGGCGGCTGGGTGGGTGGCAGGTGGGGGCTGAGGGAACGGGCTCTTATATCATCCAAATCACTCAGAGCTGGTGTAAAAACATGTTGTGGAAGTCTTCTCTGACGCATGGCCGTGTTGCGTTCTTGACCTTTCGTCAAAGAAAAGCTCCAAAGGTCACAAGTTTGTGTAAGAGTCTGTGTGTCAGGTGGCTCGTTTATCAGACCTCTGCTCACACCTTTCCTACCTGTTGTCATTTAGAGAAGCGCTACAAAACAAGCACACGCGGCGCACCAAGCGCACACCTGCCGTTACCCACTTTTCATGACGCGATTCAAAGCATCTTCCTTCAACCTGAACAATCACTAGACCAGTTCACAAGTCAAAAAACTCGGCCTCACAACGTTGCCGTGCAACTTCCTGCAATGGAAATTACCGTTATGGCCTTTTGGAAGCAACAAAGTAAACTTTCCAGGTGTATACGTCCCACAATGCAGTGCACGACACACAATTAGCATTTCAGAACGAAGCATTAACATTCAGTTTGAGGCAAGCAGACCAGTATTTACATAATCTGGATAGGCTGTCTCTGCTCTGCTCGCCGGTGGCTATTTGCTTCAAACGTCCACATGCAGACAGATACACACACTTTGGCTCAACTTTAGTCGACGTCTGCTGTAAAGGCAACCGGATAACAGGTACCAGAGTCTTATAAAACACTGTGGCCTCAGGACCTGTTGAGGGTTGATCACTTTGGCTTTTGTAAGCAAACTGGAAGTGAACTACGAAGCATTAGTTTGAATGAACCACTTTCAGAGTTTCAGATGTAAATACATGCCGATGCAGTGAGGCGACACTTGTCAGCGGGTTTTGTTTCAGCGGTTCTTTGTGGATCTCTCACAGCTGGATCAGAATGACATCACAGATAAGGAAGTGTGATCAGAGCTGTGTGGCTGCAGGCTGTTGGAGACATGGTACACAGACCAAGGTGTCCCAGGGTGCAGGAGTGGCTCAGGGACAACATGGGATATAATAACAATGTGTGGCTGCAGGCATTTCATGCAGGTATATTTCATTCATATATATATATAATGTGTGGGATATTGTGTTTATTTGCCCCTTCACTTGTTTAATATAATCTGACTAGGAAAAAGAAGTTGTCCACATACAGTGCTAGAGATGGGTTAGGGTTAGGGATGGTTTTATAACAGCGCCATCAGGTGATCAGACCTGACAAGCCTCCATGTCTCAATCTATTTTTCCATTCAGCCTCTGAACTGATGGAGAATCTGGCCCCCGATGAAAGGTGACCAAAACTTTAGTTTTTAATCATTTTTATCAACCAGTGTTAATAAAGCACACTTTAATTTTAGCTTCAAGGCGTAAAATAAGTATTCACTTCATAAAGGCACACATTTTTAACCCTACACTGGCCCATCCGGACCTTGGATTTTACGCACAGCGCATGCATAAAGAGAAAGAAAGCAGAAGTCGGTCCTATTTCTGTCTGCTTCTATATAAATATGTTTCTGTTAACACAGCCACGGCTTTTATTAAAGGGTGATTCACAAATTCTGCATTGACGTTCGTATCCTGTCATACAGAAGAAGAGAAACGCCCGCGGCGGAATTGCTCCACAATGGCGTCTTTCTTTAAAGGATCTGGGGCAGAGTTAGGAAATGGAAATGTTTCACGACTAATCGGGAGTTCAAACATTGTTCTAAACGAGAAGAAGAAAAATAAAACTAACAAAGTTGGGAGCAACTTGGAACATATGGCTCGGATGTTTTCAGAGCCGAAAAAACGCGCCGCGGAGCAAATTCATGAGCGGCGGATTAAAGAAACCCGGAATATATTTGCTCGACAGGATGGCAGTAATCCGCTGCTGGGTTTAAATCCGAGGCATCGAAGCCACCTCAGGTCGTGGCCAGGCGCATAAATGTTCAGTAACAAAAGCCAGGAAGTGGTTAAATATTCTTTAAGAACTGAGCCGCTCGGAATCGCTTGGCACATGCGTAAAAGCTGCTGCGCCTCAACGTCCCGTCCAGCCTCGGAAATAACCAGCAAACAAGAGAAAGCTTCACCTACCTGACACACAGAGCCTCATAAAGTACTTCTTTTCTGCAAAACCCCCCCTGTTTCTTTTCTTTTTCTTTTTTGCCCCCCTCTCTGATTTGGCCCACGATCTGCTTCTCTTCCCACACCAGTGAGAAATGCAATAGCTTGGCTTAGGTAGACAGAACAAAATACAGAGAATACTTGCTCCAGGGCTCCGAAACCCCTCAAGGCAAAGATCAGGATACAATTAGCTCATGCCTCTCAGTCTAAACCAGTATGCGGCACACAACTGCGAGCAAAACAGACCTTAGTCTTTGTTAAAATATTGGTAAAAGAATATATTTATATGATCAAATACTTATTTTTTCCTACATTAACTTATAACCCCCCCCCCCCCCCCCCATTTAACTTGCCTCCTTTTTGCAGAGAAGCTGATTTTAATCGTTATGATTAGTTTTGATGTAACTCTCCCGCAGGGCGATTTCTACAAATGGATGGACTGTTTCTTTGCCAGAGAGGAAAAGCAGGAGATGACGATAATTACACAGATTGTCGGTGGAGGGCTTTGTTGTTTATTTTTTCCTCCTCCCCCACCCTAAAACTATTGTCACCCCCCCTTTGCATCATCAGACAACCTGTTGATTAGTCCAGACTTTATTTACATCAACTACAATGT